AAGGAAAAAAAAAAAAGAAGGCCCCTTCCTCTCAACTTCATCTGGTCTGATTGACCTTGCACGGGTGATACACCTGGGTATGGATCTCAAATTGATCAGGTAGGAAGCACGTGTCTATACATGGAAGGTACTCAATACTGTTAGTCCTTCCATAAACTCATGGAGAGTCGCCTTCCTCATTAACCCAAACTCACGGAAGGAGGAAATGTTAGTCTTACACCATCAATCCACGGGGAAGGCAGTTACATGGGTTCAACATCCTTGCTACCTAGCTGCTACTTGCCCATGTATAGAACTACCAGCCAAGATATTTACATCATCACCAGGTCGTGCTTACCACCTTTTACCTTTCAGCCACCATACCTACTTTGCTGTGTCATTTCCATGCACTGGAACCTTGGTTTCTGAACCAAGCGATTTCATCTTATTTGAGAATGTTATTTCTTCGCTTTTCGACACGTTCTCTTCTACTATCGATGCCTCGCTGATGTTACAGACATGCCGAGGAATTCAGCTGTGCAATGCCGCGAGATCTGGTGTCAGGGTGCAAGGTTTAGCCCCAGTCAGACGTTACGTTTGTGCCACGACCACATCCTTGTCATTCGGTTTTTTCCCTTTCTCTTCATGTTGCGCTCTCGACTCAAGACTCGCTCCCATCCAGCGGTGGGATCACAACATTGTTGCTGCACAAGACGATACGCCGCATCGGCTCCCACTATCAGGTGGGGGCCTCCTGCTTACAAGCACATGATTCGGGATGTTGTTAGTGACGCATGTCAGGTTCCAAAACTCCAAGGACCCTGACTGTTAAAGAGTATCTCTAGTCGGCATGGTTACAGTCCGACGCGTGTTGGTATGCGTTGAGAACGCGCGACTGCTTGTTTGTGTAGTCGTTATTATGTGCTTACACGAATCAACGAAGCCTCATAGAGCCAATTCTTAATTGTCCGCCTGCCAGGTGTTAGTGGCTCTAAACGGTCCGGCCGTCAAGCGACAAGATCTAGAACGACTTCCGCGCCCATCCATGGATACCAACTGTAATACTGCACCGGCTCGAGCAATTTTGCGACCACGGATCTTTAGGGATGTAGTGGTTCATCTCCACTATATAGCTGTCATTGCAGGGTGTTGAGTTGCTTAGCGTTCGCTTAGGACAAGCCAAGAACCTTTCTGTTTGATTAGGTACAGCACCAAGAGGACATGACACTGAATGTTGGGCCATCATCACCCTCTAGGTTGCTCTTCAAAATTCCCCTTTTCTCTCTGGCTGGGAGATACTGTTGCAAACTCTTGCAAATTGCGGTTTGTATCCGAACAGAAGACAAGCGAGTGTCCTGCGGTTGAGGTTGTTACTACACTTGCCGTACAGCCCTTTCTTTACCCAATGTACGTACCTGTACTTTTAGCAACGGTTGGCTACCACCTAGCGCAATCTAAAATTCCGCCAACCACTAACCGCCAACCACTCCAGATGTCCTATCAGGTATGTTGGATTATACCCACGCAATAGATCTGGACCCTGCGCACACAGACCAAGAACCAGGTCACATCGTCTTGACATGCGACAGTACAGATATTATCGCGGGGCATCATAATAAATATGTAAGCACACAGAATTTCCTCCTAGTGAGCACTATATCTCAGTCGATAGCTTTATAGTGGGGTAGCCGGTCCTATCAGTTGTGTACCCTTGTTGTCAGAATATAGCTTGCCCGGTGGCAGGAACCCCCTTCCATACAAGTCTCGCAAACACCCCACTAACAGTATCGGGCATCTCGCTGACGTCTGTGCCCATGGTTAAATCTCCGTCGGGAAGAATGTAGTCTACCCTACTCCGTATCTACGCCGCCATATCTACCCCGTTTGCAAAACGCAGCCTGGTCCATATGTGGCCATCGTCGGCACTCCGTTAACAGCGGCCGCTCGCTCACCAGCACTTCCGGAGAGACCTTGTCTTTACCGGGTACCCGCCCTGCAATTAGGGCAACGATGACAAAAGCTGCCACAGTAGTGCGGCAGCTCTAGACCAAGCTCTGGTCAGCAGAGCATATCGAAACTTGTTACCGATGACTAGGTATCTGGTCTGTGCTCGTTTATGTTCATCTGGACATCTTGAGGAAGCAGGACCTGCATTGTCTTGTCTGATATCTCACTCTCTGTGAGTCAGATATAATCAAGCACCATGCTGACGTAACTCGTACGAGGGTAACTTTGGGTATACTCTCTATATTTACATCATTCCTCGGTGGCTGCATCGTCTTGAAGACTATCTCGGAGAAATTCAACCTTGAAGGAAGTTATATTTGATGACCTGTCACTTTGCCGTGGTTGCAGTAGACGAGTCTGACCTGGGTCTAGCCGCGACCGTTAGATCTACTAAAGGTACGGTATGTTGGTTGTATCCCCGAGCCACCGTTCGGTTATTGGGACATATCAGTCAGAAAGGAAGAAATCAATAATAAGACCAGGGCAATGCGGGAACAAAACAACAACGCCAATCCTATCAGTACTTACTCCCTCATACCAACCTGCATGCAATTGTTGGCAGACACTACGTCGGTCGACGTCTTTCGATGCAACCTTTGGCGTATTCTGTGCAGGGACCAGAGCAAAGCTGAAAGAGTGTGGATCAGTGGACCGTGGTCAAATTGCTACATGAGTACTTAATATTACTCAGGACGATTCTGCGACAGCTCTTGGTCATTTTGGGCAAAGAGCTCGCGTGATCTACAGATCTTAAATCGCCTGGGTTGGCGACTGCCATATTCTTCACTCGCTTAGTCTTTTCCCCCTCATCTTGTCTTCCTTTCCTAGCCCTGCTTCCTCCGACTAATAGCACGAAACAACCCCCACTATCGTCACCGCTGTCGTAGTATGTGGCTTGGCCTTCTGCCAGCTCTGCCATTCACCTGTTGGACATGCAGAGAACGGTGATCCTGAAGAGGCGCATGGCTATAGCAATTGGTGACCTGTTCTGGTATCTCTTACAGGCGTGCCATGTGGTCTAGAGCATATTATCGGACTACAGGTAAGACATAGGTAGTTTACGGTAGATCCGGGACTTTTCTGATGGTCTGAGTACTAGGCTAGTTACCAGACTTCAGACACCCCTGGAAACAACTTTCACTAAACCATGAACCGTGTGTGAAAAGAGATTGCTTGTTCTTGTCTGTCAGAGTCTTCAAGATTCATCTTAACCAATTAGCGCTCAAGCCACTTCTTGGTCGAGAACTGTTGATTTGGTGAACAGACAGATCATCACCAAACCCTTCAGCCGCCAAATCATCAAACTTGACCTGAGACATTTGACATGTGGTTGGGGATGACGACAGGTGCCAAACAAGTGTGGCTTACAGCTTCCACGACAGGGATATCATTTTCTGTAGTCGCGCCGACAGAACAAAACCCCTGCTTGAGTGCCAGAAAACCTCCCGTGTCGGGCCCGACATGAATGGAATGTTTCCATCAGCCTTTTTGCACACCATATCAGTATCCAGTCTCGCCGTCGGTAGACTCATGTCGAGGTTCACTTCGCTTAATGTTCTCAAGTAAGGCCCATGATTATTTGGATAAAGGAGGCTGATGAACCATACTCTTAAAGTTTGCAAGGGCGAGTCAGGCACGTACCGCCGCTCTTGAGAAGGAACTCGTTGCCGGTTTTCCCTTGATGTCTCAGCAGTTTTCGACAACGTGTACAATAGTTGGCCGAAACACACAGGAAGGCTTCGAAATTCCAGACCATGTTGATATTCCCTTTTTTTCTCTTCTTCTTTTTCCACCTCTTTTCTTTTTCTATTCTGATGACATGACCACGCTGTTGTTGACACACCAAACTGCCAAGACGGGTGGGCTCAAGGCTTCGGGTTTGTTCCTGAAAGAAATCTCCGGAAAGGTTAAGGTATTCGTATTAGAGAAATGTGGTGCTCCCGACTGGATGGTTCGCTGTGGATATGGGCGCCAGACTCTGCTAAACTAGCGACGCGGCTGTCGGGCAACTGTACTTGTGACGTTGGTGTGCAGGCGGGTTGCAGGCTTTCTGACTCAGTTTGGTTGCAACTGAAAGAGCGGTGATTGGGTAAGAAAGAAATGCAGTGAGGTAAAAGGAAACTTTTGCCTCGAATCCACGCTCTCGGTGTTGCCAACGATGTACCGCACCGCACCGCATCGCACCGTACCGTATCCCTGTGGTTGCACCACGGACGGTGCCTACAGATAGATGCTGGCTGAGGCTGTCATATCTGACTGGCGATGCCGCCCGTGCGACATCTGAGACGGGGCAACAAGACAGACTAGCCAGCCAGTACATTATTTACCCTCATGACTGCATTAGAGATGCCAAGACTCGACATATGTACATACTTGTATAGAAGCAAGTTCTGTTATATTCTTCGGGGGTTTCATGACGCGGGCGTTGTCGGACATGGTAGGCGAGTGTGGCACACTTGTCTTAGACACCCGCTAAGAAATGCTCCTATCGTGGCAAAAGCATCAAGGTCTAGAGCCTCCGAAAAGGCGGTTCAGCTGCGATTGATGTAGATTTTGCCAAGCCATGTCTAAGGAACTGACAAGGAAGCACTAGGCTGGTAAATCTATTACTGTACTGTACCGTACGTAGCAGACGTACGCCGCAGGGCTTAACGACAAGGGTCAGAGACAGAGACAATTGTCCTGTCCTGTTCTGTCCTGTCTCGGTGTGACAGCGTGCACATCGAAAGAGGTGTCGGATGCGAGATAGATACATACTCATATTGAGGGAGCACAGCATAACCCCTCTCCTTGGTGATCAAGTCTGGTACAGATGTAAATTGCAGACATAGCCACTACCTCTCAAATCCAGTTATAGTGGACAGCTCCGCCTAAAAACATATGTACATGGATAGGTAGAGGTACCTAGGTATTATGGAAATAGTATCAATAGTAACAGGAATGAACAAGGGTTAAATGGCCAATACTACATCCTACCCAAGATAGCAGAAACCCTAGTTAGATAATGGACCATTATGGAAAGAGTGGCCCAATCCAAGCCGTTTCAAGGCAGGTATGTACTACCTATGGCAGACATTACCGGATCTCCCAAGTTCCTGCCTGGGTTTCTCCTACCTTATTACAATATTGGCAGCTGGGCCGAAGAGACGAGTGAATACGAGGCAGGTGCGGGTCCAGTACCCTCTTACACAGGTCATAGTTGCCTACTGTCATTCGTGCTGGTCTTTACTACTTCCCAGTCAACAAGAATATCATCCATTGTCCATACCTATCCTTTACAGGTTCCTCAGCCCAGGAGATGGAAACCTACATAGAGTCAAAATACGTTCAAGACGTCTATGTCAACTGGCTGCCCTATTTCCTAGACAGGCAACGTCTGATCGGATCGGCACTGCCAAAAAGGTACCTTAACGGCTCATCAAGACCTGACAGATGATGAACCCACTCGATCACACGGGGAAAATAAACGGAGGTGCATCCCGCACCTCGCTGCAGCAACAAGGAGCTCTGACCGGAAAGCCAAGTTCCCTTGATACCCATGCTCATTCAACACGATATGATTCTTTCAAGAATCAGACTCATGCTCAAGAAGCCTCTGCTACTGACAAAAATAACCGCAGCAGGGTTTTCATCCTAGCATTGCAGATCATGCATATATGGGATAGTATTTATCTATCGTACAATACAGCATCAGGACTGTTGATACAAACCAGAACGCCCCCAAAATCAAAATAAGTAGTGTCGCTGTCGTCATTACTCGGGATAACGTTATCCTAGCGAATTGCCCGATTTGCCAAAGACCACACCCAATTACCATCTAGGCCATACGTATGTACTATACGATTTTGCTTGGGGGTGGCTCTCAGCCAAAAGACATACTGGACGCTCCCCCTGTTGGCTTTTTGTGACTCTGCTAGGATTTGGCAGGCAGGTTCATTCCCTGCAGCGATATGCGCCGCTTAGGAAGCTCATAACCACTTCGGGTAGGGGACGGGCACATGGCAATGGACCCCTTTCCGTCTCATTGTGCAAGGCCAACCCTGCTGTCAGCAGCCCCCATTATCCATGTATTGCTTATGTACAATCTCAAAAGAAACAAACCTGGCTGGGACTCTCCAGCCGTCGAATCCTCTTCTGCGCTGGCTGTGAAATATCGAACACCCACCTCAGTTAGGGGCCTGTACTATCAAAAGTCTATGTTCAACTCCCTCCCTTGCCATACTGTACAATAACGGTTTGGAGGCCTCGGGTAGCAGCGCCATCGCGGCGATTCTGCCATGGTGTTGCCTACCTACCTATCGTACGAGCCCAAAGGTCGCGACCACAGTCTGTTTTGCGAAAGGATCCAAGACAATGCAGCCCAAACGGCGTTGTTATGGCGCTCCTAGTACGCATCTTTCCATTGGGTCCTCTAAACCCCGCAAACCGGCTGTAATGTCACGATAGTTGATGGGTCAAACCCAATTTAGACACATGATGTCTTTTCTAGTTATCCCACGTTTCGGCACGTTTTCCTCTGAGTCCAGATTCGAAGATGCCCGGCAGCTTGGAGATGGGGGTGGGGTCCCTTCCTCCCTGGCACAACCCTTCGACAGTTTGGGCAGAACCGAAAAACGGTGAGAGAGGACTATGTGATCATCTTGATTGGGGCATCATTTTCATCTCATCAACCCCTGTTGACCAGGAACAACCGGCAAGCGTCTCGAGAGACCAGCATCAGGAATGGAGGATGACTGGCAGTTTCAAATAGTGCCATGTCTTGCTGTTCTGAAGCTTCCACGTCTGTGAGCCAGCGACAGTTATCCATGCTGAAAATAAGTGTTCAAACTGACATTTACTGGCACAGAATGTTCAGCCCTTTGTCAAGCTCAACTATGGCGGCTGTTGCCGCAGTCTGGGTTCCAGTAGGCGCAGCGCTAGTAAATTTCCGCGCCTGGATTGTTCCCTCAGGATATGATCTGACATGATAGACTCGAAGCTGTCTAGCTGTCTAAGTTCTAGGGACCAGGGACCAGGGACCAGGCTTCTAATTTAGCCAAGACCGACTCTACCAGTAGTGAGTTCCTCTAGTTGCCAATACTATACGTCACCTGGCAGGCATTGCACCAAAGTCTCGGCAATATAATGAGTTGAGTTAGTTGGAAGCATTCTCGCACTATGTTGTGGCCAGCTTAACAGCTTCGCATATGGGGATAAGGTACAACAACAACAACAACAGCCATTGCGGCCCGGTTAGGATTAAGCTACCAACGAGAGCATGTTACAAATTTCGCGGAGTGTCGTTTTCTCTAGGTTTTAGGATGGACACGGTCTCTAGTTTAGCCTTGACTTCGTCTCTGGGGAAATTGATCTGACAAATACTTTCCTCGCCGGCATGGTAACCGCACCTGTGACCGAGTACAAACTCCATGTTTACTTGATACAGATCTGCCATGAAACTGTGCAGCAAAGACCACTCTAACAATAGCCCAACACGCAGTCATCATACATGTTTCCGAACAATTGGCACACATTCCTGCCAAACGTCTTCTCATTACTTAGACCTACTTGTCATTGTTTTTAGAAGCGCATGGCTAATGAAGAATGAGGAGTTGCTAAGGCATATACTGTACGACACGGGGCATCGATGACCACAGTCCCGGAGGCCTGGGACGCGGCAGTGTGCTTGCAGAATGCTAGTCTCCTCCCTGCAGGTAACTGCATGGCTGGTTCCTCATCCATTCATTTTGGTATGTGGTAGTGGTTAGCTATCACTTGGGGCCACTGACGAGATCAGGCAATGGGGCTAGAGGCGAGGTGGACAACATGTCTTTGAGACCATTTTGGTGGTTAGGCCTATATAGCTGAGAGTGGCATCATCTGGGCGTCTCGATTCATCAAGAATGTCTCGCAAACTTAGGCATGGGTATAGTTCCTTGGACTTGCTCTCGCGTGTGAATGCGTCAAAATGGCTTATTTTCTCAAGAAGCATTATTGATAATTGGTATACAGCCCATGTGTTATAGGCAACCTAAGGGCCTGGACCACTAGGTACAGCTTATGTGCCTACTAGTTTCACATCACACGAACCGTTGCCGATTATGCTCGGGCGAAGTACCCTGAGGCTCAAGGAGGCACGATTCCAAAAGCTGAAAAGCACTTGGTTAGTTCCCTGTGGGCCTGTCTTGCAGCCATGTTTGTTTCAGATTTATTGTTCATTGTGGCCTGATATTGGTAGTCAGAAGCAAATTTACGAGGGCTGGGTATGAATGTCGTCTCGGTGAGTTGGTCATAGTGCAGATGGGTCTACGCCCGCCATGAATTGTCTTAGCGACATAAGAAAAAGCAAAGGGGCACTTTTACTATTGACCGAGTCTGAGCTTTCGAGAAGCCATTCAGCACGTACGCGAGATGGGGTTTCGGTATTGGCCTGAAAAGCTGAGAGCTGAGAGATCGGCTCGTATACTTGAACCTGGCCCAGCAGGTCCTCAGTCCTTGCATGATCCATTGGTCTCGACTGTGACGGCCATCCCAGATTCCCTTCCTTGGTCGTCGATGAAACAGGTCTTACTACAACGGATCGCTAGATGCATCTCGTTGCTAGCTGTAAGCAACGTTGTCAATCCCGTTGCTCTAGGTCGATCTCTCTCCCTTTCATGGTCGATTCGTGAAATGTGGCGCAAACGCTTACTTCTTTGAGTGTCTCTCCCTCCCTGGAGTCACCGAGGGTCTGGGTCGACATACGTCAAACCCGTCATGATGAACCATGATCGGCCTACAGAAATGATTTGGCACCCGACACGCACGCGGGGGCGTTTTCTGCGGGTTACGTCGAACCTGGGGTTGAGATATGCTCACCCTATAGGTCTAATATCAAGTACTTGTGATCTTCAATGGCTGGTGTATGCCTCGCATTTCGGTTGCGGCAGTAAAAACGTCATACTCCGATTCATGGCGAGACGTTGCCTAGTAACTCTGTCTGACATGACGTCTTCATCTTAAAGAGCGAACAAGTTCCCAGTGTTGTTACAGCGACTCTGTCAACAGACGAGAACAACTCTTGGGTATGGAAAATGAGTTTAAGACCAAGCGGCCGCCACGCGACACCTCCCATTGTACCGCAGACTGTATAGCTGAAACAAGATAGAGAGCAACGAGATATCAAAGCTTAAATACTAAGGACGATGGAATCTATTGTGTTATACACATGGCATTACATCGGTATGGCACACCGAAAAAGGAAACAAAGCAAGACAGTAACTCCTAAATAACGACTCATCTCGCCAATCATCCGGTACCATGGCTGGATCAGTTGTGCACCGGAGATCCAGCTCGGGATCTGTCTGCCGGAGATGCTCCGATGTCTCGCATTCAAGACTCATTCCCAACAACTCCCGGAAGTAAGCACCAGAAGGATATGAGACATATCTCGAATCGAGTGACAGATCCGCATCCCTTGACCGATTGTACTCTAGCGTAACACAACAAAGTGAGACTCGCTTGGCTCGTTGCGGCGTTACCTTGAACGTACCAGTCTGGCACAGAATCTGATAGAAAAGATGGAATAAGATACATCACAACCCTGAGAAAGGCATGCAGCTTACAAGATGCCACAGTCGGGCTCACCCGGTTGTCTTGAATAGAAACAAGTATGTGCATGCGCAAGGGAGAGAATGGCTGAAGTTGGCGGGAAGGACAACGTGAGATTACGAGATAGGGGGTTTGTGGGACAAGCAGCCGTTTGGTGAACCGGATAGATGCGTCGCAAAGGGGGCTGGTTTGGGCCATATCTGTGAGATCAAGCCGGCCACTCTCACTGGTAGGGATAGAAATTTGTGACGCAGTTAAGCAAGTCGCCACGAGACGTTTCAGGGATGCAGAGCAGGCCAAGGCCCGTCGACAAGACAATCAACATGTGTGAAGCGATGGCATAGCCGACAAAAGTTCTGCTGGGTGCATTAGAGTCGACTCTCGATGCCCCGGTAGTTACTGTCCTCGGCCCAATGCGAGTCTGGCCAGACGAGACGGATAGCTTCCCAGATATGGCTATTCAAGACATATGTCAGTGGAACACAACTCTTGTCTTCGGGCATAACATGCGGCAGGGTTGAGTGTAGGACAAAAGTATCAATCAAGGAGAGAGATGGCTTACCTGACGTGAAGAATTTCGAGTCCATCCTTGACCTCTTGAGGGAGATCTTTAACATCCTTGCGGTTTTGGGCTGGAAGTAGCACAGTCTTGACGCCAGCTCGGAGGGCGCCGATGAGTTTCTCCTTGATACCTCCAACGGCTGTAACTCTGCCTCGGAGAGAAATCTCGCCCTGTCGCACGGATGATGGTCAGTATTCTGGATTGTCACGAGTTGACTGCTTGAATAACAACGTACCGTCATCGCCATTGTCGGTGGTACCGGCTTACCCGAGAAGAGAGATATGAGTGCGATAGCCTGACCGATACCACTACTGGGACCGTCTTTAGGAATAGCACCAGACGGGCAGTGAACGTGAATGCTGCGCTCTTTCATGATGTCCGAAGTAGGCTCTGGCGTCAAACCCAGCTCGAATGCGTGTGCCTTGACCCAAGTCAAGGCGACCTCGACACTCTCTTTGAGAACATCTCCCAATTTACCTGTGAGCTGAACTCGTCCATTACCAGGCATATCAGCGACCTCGATGAAGAGGATACTGCCATTGCCTCCAGAACTATAAGCTACCAGCCCTGTTACAATACCCGGGCGGCTAGTCTTTTCGGCAATCTCTTCTTCAAACTTTTCAATGCCCAGAATGTCCTCGATATCCTCTACACTCAGCTCGGGTCGGTAGTGCTCCATGTGCCCCGCATCCTTCGCCTCGGCGTATTCAACAGCTTTAGCACGACAGACTGAACCAATTTCTCGCTCCAAGTTGCGAACTCCGGATTCGCGGGTGTAGCAGTCGATGATTTTGGAAACGACCTCTTGATTGAAGGTAACCTGACTTTCGGCCAAGCCATTGACTCTGATCTGCTTGGGAACAAGGTGCTGCATCGCAATATGTCTTTTCTCCAGTGTCGTGTAGCCAGGGATGTAGATAGTCTCCATTCGATCCAAAAGAGGAGCGGGAATAGTGTCGAGGCTATTGGCAGTCGCGATAAAAAGAATTTTGGAGAGGTCAATCGGCATGCCCACATAGTGATCCTGGAAGTTGTAATTTTGCTCAGGGTCTAGGACCTCCAACATAGCCGCCGAAGGATCTCCGTGGATGCTTGCCTGGCCAATCTTGTCGATCTCATCGAGTAGGATGACAGGGTTGGCAACGCCAACCTTTCTTAGACCCTGAACGATGAGGCCTGGCATGGCCGCAACGTAGGTTCTTCGGTGACCTCTGATTTCAGCCTCATCTCGAACACCGCCGAGGGAAATACGATGAAACTTGCGACCAAGAGCCGTGGCGACTGACCTCGCAAGACTGGTCTTTCCCACACCAGGAGGGCCTGCCAAGAGCATGATGGGAGACTTGTCCACCATACGCTGAGACTTGAGGATTTCGAGCTTGGCCATTTCGGGCTTTGTGGCATCCCCACTTCCTGAGACAGCGGCCTCGTTTCCTTGCTCGTTGCCAGTAGACTGAACCGTCTCCTGCTCTGCTTTCTTAATTTTCTCTTCAACGTCATCGTTGATCGACTGTTTGAGCCTTAATACAGCCAGGTACTCGATAAGCCTCTTCTTGACGTTGTCTAATCCATAATGATCATCGTCGAGTTGTTTCCTCGCTCTGTGCAGAGTCTCGGGACCCAAACGATCGTCTGTGGTGGCTGTCCAAGGGATCTCCGCCAAAGTTTCTAACCAGTTACGGGTGACCTGATACTCCTGGTTCATGGGTTGCATCTTCTGCAGGCGTCTTAACTCGCGGTCCACGGTCTTGGTGGCTTCGGCGGGAAGCTTAGCGCTCGACAGCTTACGCTTAAGCTCGTCGAGCTCGTTGGCCTCCTGGTCGTCATTATGATCGTTACCACCGGGCATTTGCCCATTGGGTGGAACAAATGCCATGCCTGGGATCGGTGGAAGCGAGCCTGGCTTTCGATTCTGGTTCTCGTTCAATCGATCCAGTATTTGAATGGGCATGGTTGTGAAAGTAGTGATCTTGAAGTTGTTTTTGATGCCACCAACCTGGCGCTCCAGTAATTCAATAACCTTTGTAAGGCGCACCTTGACATCTAGAGCTGCAAGAACCTCAAGCTTCTCCTCATGTGTACTCTCGACCAGGTTAGCCATGAAATCGGCGAGAAGGCCGGCCTCTTGTAATTCCTTCCTCATGATGAGCATTTCGAGTCGTCTGGTGAGCACTGGCGAGAGAATCGGACCGTCGCGGGTTCGGGGAAGGAGTGAAGAAATCCTTAAGATGGTGACCAATTCGCGCGATCGGGTTTTCAAGAGAGCAAAAAGGTCTTGCGCCTGCTTGTCGGTAACATTGTCTGGATAAAACAGTCAATCACAAGCAATGAAGGGAGGGCTTGGTAAGGCGGCCTACTATCTTCATGGAAATATGTCACTTTGGCTTCGAAGTAAGGACGTTCACGTGTAAAGTTCTCGATGCGCACGCGAGTAGTGCCTTCAACGCGCAAGGCGAATTCACCGGTTCCTCTTCCATCAATGCCGATGATCTTTGCTGCGACGCCAAACGTAAAGAGATCATCCTTTTTGGCAGAGCCAGGAAGCACGTTCTCAATCGCGGCCGGGTCTATCTCTTCAGCATCGCCGATAAGTCGTTGACCGTTGCCACTGATGAGAGGAGATGAAATGGGAACACATGCGATGGGAATGCTGTCGATGCGCGTATCGGGACCTTTGGAAGCTGCTTGTTCGTATACGTGGGCGAGCAGGGCGGGGATATCGGGTCTGTTTGACGAGACTGGGATGCGCTGGACGAGGCCGGGGAGGAGAATGGTGCCTCGCGCGAGTGGTATCAGGGGAAGATTGGCCGTCTGCGGCTTTGCCATGATGCCACTGGTTCGCTACCTAAATAAAAGACGAATTATGGGTTCAAACAGAGAGAATTGACGCTACACAAAATGCAATGAAGCAAAGAAAAAAGGTATCAGAAGTTTGTGGATGGTATCAGAGATGATGAGAAGTTGTTGATGTCAGATACAAGTACGGTAGCCCACGGATACAGTGGCCGACGGGATGGTCCAAGACCTCATCCCAGGGTATGATTGGGAAAGAAACCTGGAGAAAGACGGGGGCCAACGCCGAAGCCGGGGTGCATCATTCTATCGTCCCACTTTTGGCCGAGGTATTAGCTACCAACTCAGCTCTTATCCGTCGATCACCTCACATATCAATGATGCCAACACATGTAAAAGAGTGGCGGAGAAGGTTCAGGAAACTGTAGAGGTTTCTCCTGTCTTCTATTCTGCCCATAACCTGATCTGGCTGGTGTCTAGACGTCGGCAGATGTATGATCAACTTCCATATTGAGGCACTCCAGACAACCAAACAACGGCAATTGATTTTGAGTGTCTGTTTAAGTTTGATCGCCGATTTCCCTATCTTGTATTGGATTCTGGCAGCTTTGACTACCTAATCAGTCAGTACGAGCTTGTATATGGCTGCTTGTTATTCTTGTCTCAGTTGATTGTCTATGAGAGGGAGAGGTAGCACTCACACATGCCTAGGTGGTACGGTACCAGTTCGATGACTAAGACAACTTGATGTGCCCCACACGGCGAAGGCGGGGCACGAAAGTGGAATCCATTAAACCCGAGTCGCGTTTGACGCGTCTCATTCTTTCCATCGTGAGCTTTACCTGCCTATCTGCCTTCCTAGTTCAACTCAACACCTCACAACCAAAATCATGTGTACGCATCTCCGAGTTGCCCACCCTCTGCTCCTTTCCTAATCGCTAACAATACTTCTTTAGCTGCTTACTCTGGATTCACAAAAACAAGTTACGGTGCCCAAGGGGGCGATGACTCTGGAGGTTTCTTCGCTGGTGGTTCACAGCAAGGCAGCCAAGGTGGCGGTGGAAAGGTATATCCATTCTCTTCCCACTCAGTATGAGCAGCGCTCTAACAACTACCAGTCATACCAGGATGAGTCCTTGCGCCCTGTCACCATTAAGCAGGTTCTCGACGCCGAAGAGGCCTATGCCGGCGCCGACTTCAAGATCGACGGCTCCCCTGTGACCCAAATCACATTCGTTGGACAAGTTCGCAGCATCCAGCCCCAGCCTACAAATATCACTCTCAAAATCGACGACGGTACCGGACAAATCGAGGTTAAGAAGTGGATTGATGTTGACAAGGCGGACGACTCTGAAGTCGGTTTCGAGCTCGACTCTCACGTTCGCATCTGGGGCCGCCTCAAGTCCTTCAACAACAAACGCCACGTTGGTGCCCATGTCATCAGGCCCGTCGCAGATTTCAACGAGGTCAACTACCACATGCTGGAGGCCACATATGTTCATCTTTACTTCACCAAAGGACCTCTCGGTGGTCAAGGTGGGGGTGCCAACGGAGATGATGGCATGTTTGTCGATGGTGGTTACAATGACAACGGTGGTGGCAACAACAACAACAACCAGTCACACACCAAGATCGCTGGCTGCGGTCCGCTAGCCAAGAAGATGTTTAATTTTATGAGCGACACACCGGGCGGCAACGAGGGTGTTCACGTCAATATCATCACCAGCTCGACTGGCATGTCAGTACGAGACGCTCTCACGGCCGCTGATGAATTGCTCGGCCAAGGTCTTATCTACACGACAGTTGATGATGAGACATGGGCAGTTTTGGAGTACTAGGTCAGGTGCTTGTACAGGGTGTTTTCGGAGAGCAAGGTCGATAAATGTGGGATGCAAACTACAAAAGCCAGGTGCAAGGTGTTCACGGTTATAGGAAGGTCCAGCTTATGAAGGAATGACAAATTTGCATGGGCTATTCCTCAATGAATGACTAGAGCTAGTCCATGCTGCTGAGACAGCAAGTACAGACAGCAACAGCGGTAGAGACTGTTTGTCACTGAATGTATGCAATACAATAATGAAGGCCAAAATCCAATCTACTTCACAATATCAACACACAATAGTGAATCCAAACGAATGGCCAGAGTCAAAAGACTCGAGATAGCATCAAACACACTCTCGCACGATCAAGACTCACATCACAGCGCATTTCCGATCTTGCTGCTCATAGGCAGTATATTCGGCCTCCTCGGTTTCGGCCTCTGATCCCGTGTCGACATTTGGCGAGATCAAAGGCTCGTCTCCCTAGAATTTGACCGCGCTGCTGACGGTAGTTACGACAATAGAGCCACAAGCAGGACGCGGAATCAGAGGTTCACGAACCATGATCCACATCTTGATGGGCTCGAAGCTGCCTTCGAAGACGACTTCACGTTTGACTTCGAAGCCGAACTTGGCGTAGTAGCCGTTGTTACGTTCAGCGCTAGACTCAAGGTACATAGGACGCTGCTCAGAATCAGCCTAGCTTCTGTTAGTAAACCGGTTGAGGTCGCAAAGGAAGACCAGTAACACAGCAACTTACCTTGGCAACCATGTCGCGAATCAACTTTCCGGCATAACCCCTTCCTTGGGCATTGGGCTTGGTGCCGATGTATACAAGATAATACGAGTCCTTATCCCGCTTGCCCATGACTTCCGATTTGGTCTGGTTGAGAACGGGCAGCATTTCATCGTAATATCGTCTTCGCCCCTCGGCTGACAGCTGGTAGTTTAATTTCCACATACCACTGCGAATACTAGTCCACCAGTCATCCATTTGTTGGCCTGGCGCAAGCCTATGCTCAAGTCAGCTTAATATCAGATAAAGGTTCATTGAACCACGCACCAAAGAGCTACGGCTTCGTAGTCCGAGCCAATAGTTGTCACGATGCCCTTGTAGCAGTGCGCTGCAACCATATAAGTCATGTAGTCAACGTGAAGTTTCCATTTCTGCTCATCAGAATAGTCGGCCATGTCGTCACCGTCAAGTAGATATTGGCTCATTGCATCAGTTGCGAAAGCCTGAGCCAGAGAACTACCGGCTGCCGCAGACTCGTTCACGTTAACCAGACGAACAGAGGTTTCCCACGAAGACGGTATGAGGGAGCGTCGCCGCCACCTGGCTATTGCCGCAGATCCATTGATACCATTACTACAATTCTTGTTGATCTCCATGATTGCGGTTTAACCAGTACTTGATTTATTCGCTGTACCTAGGGGGCCCCTCCCCTGGTAGAGAAAGGGGCGCCATGTCGTATTAAGCATAACAGGTTTGTGATTCAAGCACTCAGACTCACATTGTATATTTTGGCAATTGTCGCCCGTATGAACTCGTGATAATTGAGTTCTTGATACGGACGTGAACCTGGAAGGGTGTCTCAGACAATTAAGGCTGGTACGAACTTCAACCGACATCAAGGTAATACTTGAGCGGGCCAGGCTCGCGGTCACGGCTTAGTAAAAGAGGTTTGGTTCGAGCAAGATCCGTTGACAGACGTCAGCGTGTAGGATGTTCACGCAGATAACTGAGTTGTGTTAAGCGGGAGTGTTCAGGAAAGGCCTGGACTAGTCAACAACCTTCAACAGCGTGAGGTTGGTTATAGCAAGCAGCACGTATCAACAGCAATAGCAAGACCACAAGTTGGTTATTCTTCACAGCAATCTTCCTGATGAGAAGGCTTAGCAATATTTCGATTAAGTCTCTCAGTGGTCGGTCGCTGTTGTTTTGTCAAAATAGATGACTAGAGCAAAGATGGGTGTTTGCGGGATAGATGAGCGACTGAGCTGAGGGTCAGGGAACAAAGAAATGCTGAGAGATAGGGAACAGGGAGGGGATTAAGTAGGGCGGTTACTAGATAGACACGACGTGTGCACCACAGTTTGTAGCATAGATAATATTACATACAAAGCGCCTCGACCCGGCGACCTGGCGTATAATTGGTCGAATCGTTGCATGATAGCCATTATCGCGGGGCTGCGACTAGCTTCGGGGTCCATTCTGAGACAAGTAGCTTTGGAACAGGACTCAGGAAACAAGGCGAGATAGTGGGCTTGGAAGCACAGTGTATGCTGACTGACGATCATTGGCCACATGGTCAGCTGCGAGGCAATCGTGGGGGTGAGGCGGGACTTGCCTGGACAAACTAGATCGTGAGTTTATACCTGAGATTTAAGACCGTCCAGTCAATTGTGCAGTTGAAGACAGACTAAGAAATCATTAAGATATCCTTGACTTGCAAGGCCAGATGAACCTGACATTGGTTCTTTTGTCCGTGTCAAATGGAAGCGGCTGCAGTAGCTGTCAAAGACTATCGTTGTAATGCTGCTTGCTTGTTGGTGGATGACAACGGCTTGCAGCGGCACCCAAGCTCAGTTCGTTGGTCACCAGGCAATACTGTGTCACTTGACAAGTGTAACTTTGTTATTAATCCGGATCTAGCGGAAGATCAAGACATCCAAGGACGAATCGTTGTGAATAAAAAAGGTTAAGTCTAGCACACATAAAACAAGCTTGTCTAGACTGAGACTTCAGTTGACGTTGGAGTTGAGCATAGGCCCAGGAAATAACAAATGAGAGGCTTTCCGACTGAGCGGCATTCGTTCACGTACTCGGTAATGAATAATCCCAACCTATCTCTTTTCTGATTAACAGGATCGGGGCTTTGATTGGTGAAGCTAAGCTGCTCAATGTCTTCTTAATCCTGGTAAATGAAAGCCGAGTAGTGAATAACGTAAATTAAAAGCGGCTCTGAACCTCATCTATGTGTATCACAAGGCTCGAGAGCGGATATCTATTTTGGTTGAATGCGAAAACTCAGTGCATCATAACCGAAGTTTCTAAGTCGGTGGTGGAAAGCTGTTATTGCTGTCGATTTTTGATGTTTTCCTTCTCCTTTCGTTCGCCGTGAATCATTACATGCGTCGGATCTCCTGTTCATTCAAGTACTTGTCAAGACCAGAGTCAAGGTTTTGCCACCACTCAAAGAGCATAGAGTT